GAGCCCAAGTTTGGTTGTACATATATATTTATAAATTTCTTTGTATATATATTTCTAAAATGGGTAATAAAAAAGAAATCTTTGTTTTTTCCACCAGGTTTGACAGTGAAAAAGCTGGAGATCGTGAAGTACAGAGGACCATGTTGGAATTGCTTAATCAGCTTGATGGGTTTCAACCCAACACACAAGTCAAGGTAACGCTTTGCCCGCCGTTAATAAAGGAAGCAGTTCTGTGACCAAATAATATTTGTAAACAGTTATTATAGAGTAGCTTTAGAAATCAGATTGGTGACCAAGCTGAAGTTTTTAAATAGCTTTGAGTCATTATTTTTATAATATTTTATTAGCCTGAAGTGCAGAATGAACAGAGCTAGAATATTAATCTTTGCTTGAAGAGTGGGGAGCTTTTGTGAAGTGAAAATATGTATACCATATCATAATTGATCCAGGGGTTACATGAACACTAAGGACTTCTTGCATTTATTACCATAATTTAATAGTTGTAATATATAGAATCTGTCTGCCCAACTACAAAGTATGTCCTTCATCCAGGTGATTGCTGCAACCAATCGTGTTGATATCCTAGATCCTGCTTTGCTACGCTCAGGACGGTTAGACCGCAAGATTGAATTCCCAATGCCCAATGAAGAGGCCAGAGCCAGGATTATGCAGATCCATTCACGCAAAATGAATGTCAGGTATTAAGCAGAAGTGGATGTAATTTGGATGATGTTGGCTGCACTATGAATTATGAAATAATTTTTTATTTATAGAGTATGCAATAATTAGTTGCCTCAGAATATGGCATTAACTAAAAACTTACATTTTTTCAGGATTTTAGCTATTTTGTGAAAGGCAAGTTTCTAATCTGTATGACTGTGAAGATAGTACTAAAATATTACAGTAATAAAAACTGAAGTGCCACAACAAAGGTTGAATTTTAGTTTCAGAGGTTAGGTCAGGTCTTCATTTCCTGTTCTTCCCTATTTCTAGGAAAATGAAAATAAGGGCAAATTGGTATGGTTTATGTGGGTTATGTTCAACGTGAAATCTTATATCTTTCCCTGAGGGTTTTTTTTTTAATGAAACTCTGTTCTCTGCAGTCCTGATGTGAATTACGAAGAGCTGGCACGATGCACAGATGATTTCAATGGTGCACAGTGCAAGGCTGTGTGTGTGGAAGCGGTAAGTAGGTTTGGTCAGTTTCCATTGGAAGTCTGGTTTTCCCCCTAACTACTGACCTATGGAGACTTTGTACCACAAAAGAGTTATCTTTCTTATGTCAGCTATATTGCACTTTTGCTGAATGCTTTTCCTCCCTTTTTTGGGACAGGGGATGATTGCCCTTAGGCACGGAGCAACAGAACTTACCCATGAAGATTACATGGAAGGAATTTTGGAGGTGCAGGCCAAGAAAAAAGCCAATTTGCAATATTATGCCTGATTTTTGTTCCTAAATTGGATATTAAAGCCTTGATACAAAAAGCTCAGAGTTGTAACTTTTGCAACTGAGTTCATTGTGTGAACTCCTTTCACTTATGAAAAAAATAAATTAATAAAAAATGTTTCATGCAGGATATTCATGAATATGAAACTTCTTTCATTAATCTCTTTAAACACCAACATGTGTACAACCAATGTTATCTCTTGCTTTTGTGCTTGAATATTTGATACACTTTCACAATTTGTCCTCGGTTGTTAACAACTAGCATTTCAGTTCTTACCTATATGGATTCTGAAGACACCTATATAAAATTTCATCTAAAGACAAAATCTGTAAATCATTTGATATGAAACTATATTTCTTTTTAACTCTGAGGTAAAACTTAGGTTTTTTTAAATTTAAATTGAAGGTGAGCAACAGGGAGCCAAAGATTTCTGCAGGGATTGGGAATATCTCAATTTATAACCTATATATACATATATAGAAGTTAACAGTTCTTGAAGTAGATACCATCTAGAACAAGAGATGTATCTATTCTTGTTACCATAGGACAAATTTTTCTCCTTTGTTACCCCTGTTTGGCTGTGGCCTGAAAAAACAAATTGATGCCTGATCATCCTCATTGGTAAAAACCAGAATTAATTGGACCTCTTTGATCCCATTTAATATCCTTGTCCAAGGCTGAAACAATATGAATACACACACGTACATTTGAGGATTTTTAATGTCATTTGCTATGTTAATTTGGTATACATTCATTGGTACCTTTGACTCATCTTTTATTTTTATTTTTATTTATTTATATTTATATTTATTTATATTTATAGTGTGCTGTTTAAGGGTATGCTCTCCCCCCCCCCCCAGTTGCATTAGTTTTCTAAAAAAAATAACTCTAAATGTCCTCTCTAATGCGATTTGATAACTCATCCTCTTGAATTTGATAGCACTTACTCAGATTTGATGCACAATATACATTCTAACATCTATTGCATTTTTAAAGTAATATCCTGGCATTTTGGAAATATCTGATCCTCTTGATTCTCCCTCTTTCTTGAACAAGTGATCTCATTTTCTTTAGAAAGTTTTTTTAAAATCATCTTTGTTGTAGCTTTATGGGTGCCCTTTCCTATCAGTTCAGTTTTTGCCAGGACGTTGGTACTTTCTGTGAAGATGCTTGGTCATCCAGGTCATGGTTCTCTCAAACATGCTTTTCAAAAGGCAAATGGACTTTCTTGGTTTTTTTCTCTTGAAAACAAACCAGGGAAGCAAAATATTTTCAAGGAAAAAAAATCAAAATCCAGTTGCCGCTAAGTCTACAATTCCTTCTATGAGTCTATAGAGGTTCTCAATCATCCAGGTCATGGTTGTCCCAAAGGTGCTTTTTCAGGAGGCAACTGGACTTTCTAGTTTTTTCTTTAAAGATGTTTTGGTTCTCATGCAAGAAGTTTCTTCAGCTCTGACAGGATAGTGGAGAACGGGATATAAATATAAATAAATAGGAATATAAATCCTTCCATTCCCCACTTTCCTGTCAGAGTTGAAGAAGCTTCTTGGATGAGAAGCGAAATGTCTTCAGAGAAAAAACAAAGTCCATTTGCCTCCTGAAAAAGCACCTTTGGGACATTTCTTCTATGGTTAACCCTTAAATTGTCTTTTAAGGATATAAAAACACTTCTTTGTAATGGTTGGAACATCTGTTTTTATAGATGTTTTTATAATAGAAGGGTGATTAGCAATAGCACTTAGACCTATATACCAGTTCATAATTCTTTGAAGCCCCTTCTAAGCAGTTTACAGAGTCAGCATATTGCATGGAGCCTCACTTTACTGACCTCGAAGGATGGAAGAGTGAGTCAACTTTAAGTCTGTCGGGATTGAACTGCTAGCAGTTGACAGAGTTAGCCTGCAATTTGCATTCTAATCACTGCGCCACCATAGTTCTCTTAAAGTGCCCATTGAATTTCATTGCCTATCTGAAAATCACTCTATTAGAAAAGCATTAATATGTTCTTTTGTTTGGGGGCATTTTACAAATAACCATTCTATAAGTTTATGTGAAAATGTTGATTTGTCGGAATATATGCTATTATTGATAAGTAGGCTGACAGCTTGCCACTAAATTGCCTCCAATGTATTACAATAAATCATCTGTTCCTGCTTCCCTTCTGTTCATATGTTAGGTGTATATGTAATTAATAGACTACAGCTTGCTTACCTGGTTATATAAAATATTAAAGAGGGGAGAAAAAGTCAACAGCTCCTTATTCTGCTACCAAATTGGTCCTGATTCCAAATGCCTGTTTACCTTGAGATTTGGTTCCCAGGACTGATATTTTTCATCAGATGATGCTTATTCCTGTAGAGATACTAAATAGGATGTAACAGGGTTTTGTTTTGCAGCTGTAACACATAGAAGAAATCTAAAGCCAGAGAACTGCTCTCCTTTTAACGTAACCAAGCCTTTTAATTTAATGCCTCTTGAAATGTACAACTTCCATTTAAAAATCACACTTGCCATGAATACATTAACTTTAGCACTGAGTAATTAATTACATGCCACTTCAAAATACAATGTAAACAGCCCTTCAACAAAGGGTTCTGTGCAGTCTTTGGGGGAGACAGTAAAGAACTACAATGAGGAAAGACCAGGGCTTCCCTTCAGCACCATTGTTGATGTTCCTGAGTTAGGCTCAGCTTGTTAATCATACTGTGGATCCCTCTCGTGAGTTATGCCTCCTTATGCGTTACAAGAGAAAATGTCAGATTTTTAAGAGTCTCTGTTCCTTTTCCAAAACAAAGTTTCTTCTGTATTCTGGAAGGATTGAAAGTGGACAATAAATCTTAGGTTGCCTTTTAGAGCAGCTACACGATTTGAAGAGTGGGCCTGGCTCCCTTGCTCACTTCACTTGCAATTTTTTTTTCCCTTTGCAAATGAACATAAGGTTCTTAATTCAGTCGACAAGACTGTTGCAAGGGAGCAAAGGACCACATCAGATTTGTGCAACCCTTGAACTGGTTCCACAGTTTGGGTGATTACATCATTGCAACTTGCCCCCTTGTGGAAATAATCTTTAATCATCTGAAGGTCTAATACGCACTTTACTCCAAGGTACTTCATGCATATTTGACTTCCAGAACTAACAAGATACAGATACTGAACAGCCTGGATTGAGAATATTTCCCTCTCTTGAATGTTTAAAGCCTTCATCTGGACCAAGGATTTCTGCAGGGTAATTCCAGCATTGGGTCTCTGCTCAAAAGAGAATCAGTTCTGAGGCTGGGCAGAGTTTTTTCCTTGGCTTTCCCTTCTAATTGACCTTCCAGCTCTTGGAAATGAAAACTCCTTGGCATCAAACAGAATTCACACTGGCTTCTGCTCCTAAGAAAAAGCTGATGCCGTTTAAACGATCAACAAGTCGTATAGCACCACGAGCCTATTTAACAGAAAACTGCCTCGTAGAAAAAACAGGACTAAGAATTAACCCAGACGGTTGATGTGAATCAGAAACAGACAGAAGAATCACAGGCTGGCATTCCTCCAGGACTTTGCCAAAGCAATAGAACCCCTTAGTTCCAACCTGGTTTGCAGATCTCAAAATGTCCACACTGTGTTCTGGTAACGGGCAGTGGGCTAATAAGACTGGCTGGTATTCCCCACATCACACAGCTCCATTTTCCTGTCTGGGTTTCTGTACAACAGTCCGAGGGGTATTGAGAGAGGGAGCGAGGGTGCATAAGAATCCGGCCAGCAGCGTCAGTCCCAGGCCGCCCCACGCGCAGAACATGGACCAGCCATAGCCATGGCTGATGTCCTCTGGTAATCCGTAAACGTAGCGAGGGTAGCGAGACAACTCAAAATTTATCCCTGCCACACACGTGCAAAGGGAAATGATGCAGCATGTCCCTGAAAAGGAGGAGAAGAGAAAGGGGAAAAAAAAAAAACACACACACACACACAAAAGCAATGTGTAACGTTTTTCCTGCCAAAGGCAGAATCAGGCATGTGAAGCTGCCAGTTTTTATCTTTGTCAGCAGCCTAAAAAAATACAGGAATGAAATAACTTTCTTGTACAGGCAGATTCCTGATTTTTCCTCAGGCTCATGACTCTTTGATTCCTGTCCTTTCCTTGGCACACAGCTGTCTTGACTGACTGAGCGTTTTTACTGCTGTTTTGGATTCTTTGATCTTTACATTTTGAATACTTGTCTGCAAGGAGATCCACAGGGTGTAGTCCCAAAAGTCAAAATGGCTGTGACGGCACAGTGGAAACTCACCCGCGTGTGTGTGTGTGTGTGTGTGTGTGTGGTGCACATGCAGTGGACATTTAAATATAAGGCAGAGCCTCAATCACACTGTTGTGGCCATCATTGACTTTTGGGACCATACTTTAAAAAAATAGTCTTCCTTCTGGCTATATTTCTGCAATATAATTCATCTTCATACTAGGGAAAGATTAATCATGTATTAATTCCTGCCTCTAACTACAGCTTATAGCACAGCCATAAAGGAGTGTTAAAAAGCTAACAACCCTAGAAAGGGAGACAGGAAACAAATTATATCACAGAGGAAAGCCATTCAATTGATGCAGAACAGTCACAGCTGTGGCTTCAATGAGATGTGGCCTTCCAACACTTGCCTCTGGACTTCCATAGAAAACCCTGAGGCCTTTACCGTTTCCTGCAAACTATGCCATAGCTCTGAAAGATTGCTTTAGAGATGGACAATGTGGGGGCTTCATTAGTTCTGCACTGTAACTCTCAGCATCCATCAAACTAGCTAGGTTAGCAAGGGCTAGTGAGAATCAGGGATCGGTGATATCTGCAGAGTTAAACAATAGCCACGTGTAACCTTTAAGGAAAGGAAAATCTTTTATCTAGCAAAGAAACCCAAAGGTGGTTTTTTTCAAGAGGCATGATAATATATGATGTATTTTGTATAATTCTCTGTGCATTTGTATTTATATTCAATGTGTCCATAAACATTTTGTACAGTTGTATATGTTCATATATGTGCAGTCACACTTATCTTTGTGTGCTCATGTACATACGTTTTGTTGTGTTTTCCACTGACATATTCAAGGATGCCTTGCATATTTGCATACATATATTTATATTTTACTGTTGTTTTGCACTTCTGGTTGGATGCTAACTGCATTTTGTTGCCTGTATTCATGGCAATGACAATAAAGTTGAATCTAATCTAATCTAAACTGGACTTTCTTGTTTTTCTTTGAAGTTTTTTTTCGCTCAGGGGTGGGATGCTACTGGTTCTGCCTGGCTCTATAGAACCAGTAGCTCTTTGGCCCGCCTGCCCGCCTGCCCACCCAGGCTCTTACCTGACCTTTATTTCGTGCTTTTTCAACCTCAGCTGCTTTGCGCAGCACAGCTGAGGTTGAAAAAGCAGTAAAAAAGTGGTTTTTCAAATGTTGCGCACCCATGCGCAGCGCTTATCAGCTGTCCGGGCAGCACAGCTTTAGGTGTATTACACACACACAGTGTGCATCTGGCATGCATGCACGCAAAGCATGCATGCATGTGCAAAACATAATCACCGAACCGATAGTAACACCGGTTGAATCCCACCCCTGGTTTCGCTTCTCAACTAAGAAGCTTCTTCAACTCTGGATGTGGAAGCATTTATATTTCTGGCAGACAGCTGGTCATTTGCATTCTTTTAGAGAGCTGTTGAGGCCACTTGGAAGCTTATCTGTGTCTTCAGAATCACTTGAGTAGTGGAAATGGGTGTGAGCTTTCTTGGAAGTGCTGAAAGGACAGTGTTGTAGACTGGAGATAGATGATACTGTATCCCTCCCTCTCTGTTGAGAGAGGGCTGTTCAAAATTGACAACACAGTCCTTTCAGCAGTTCCAAGAAGGCTCCACACCCATTTGCACTACCCAGATGATCCTGAGGACACAGATAAATCTCCAAGTGGCCTCAATGACTCTCTGAAAGAATGCAAATGTCCAGCTGTCTGCAAGGAGTATAAATCTTTCCATTTCCCACCATCCAGTCAGAGCTGAAGAAGCTTCTTGGCTGAGAAGTGAAATGTCTTCAAAGAAAAACCAGAAAGTCCAGTTGCCTCTTGAAAAAAGCACCTTTGGGACAAACATGACCTGAATGACTGAGAATCTCCATAGACATTTAGCAAAGAAACCAGCAACATATTCTCTCTTCATGCCCGCAAATCAACATTGCACTAGATTTCTACCTATTTAACCGGGATGAAAAGTTTAAGTTACAGCATAATTATACAAATAATGGCATTCTGGCTTCTGTGTTCTTTTCGTCTATGCACTCGGTTCCTCTGTTAAGGCATGGATTCAATGCATACAATGCATAATACAAATGCCAGGATTATACCCAAACCTATTTTTAACAATAATATTTTTTTTAAAAAAATTACCTCCCATAAGGAAGAGCAGTCCAGCTACATATTGCATGAGCTCATGTTGTTGACAGCAACCCAGCATGCCAATGATCCACCCAAAGAGGATTATGGACACTGCCATACCGATGAAGCCAGCTGTCATCCTCCGCAGGTCTGAGAAGGAGGCATTGTTGGTGCATGGAAGAAAGAAGAGGGAGAACAGTAGAGGAAGAAAACCCACAGAGAGTCTCCTAGACAACTTTAGGGCAGTCTTTTCAAAGCTGACACCCTCTAGTGTGGACTATAGCTGTAGTCTCTGCTCTAGAGTTCTGCAATTTATGTTCTCCTTAGGACAGGATGTTTGTTGATTTTGAGAACCATATAAAGCAATTAAAACAAACAAACCAAGCAGGAGGAGGTACTGTAAATCTGCCCCACTGAAAATACTTTGTTTGTAGGTGTTCTTCTGTTTTTCTGGGATCATCATGGGTAATTTCCTTGAATGTTCAAGCAATCAGGCAGTTTGGTAAGTGCAGTGCAGTGCAATGCAATGCAGAGTAATCAGGCTGTGAATATGGGATCATCTATGATTTGTTGCAGAAGACATTATGTTCTGATGTAATGCTGCCATAATCTCAGAGGACATTACATTATGGTGTACTGACTACTGCCACTGCCTCAATCTGATTGCCACTTGATAAGAGCTCATAAGGATTCAAGAAGGTAAACAGACCAGATGGGAGAGGAATAATGGGAGCAGCCTAATAAATGATCGAGATTGGGGCAGTGAAGACATGGGGAGTGGGGAATTGCTAGCTAAGATTTTGTCAATCTTATGCTCTCCAGATATATTGGATTTCAGTCACCATAAAGAATTTGCATTTGCACTGGAAAGCAACAGGTTGGAACAACAATTTCCTCTGAATTAAGGTAGATGATCCACTCAGATGTGAGTTCTAGGGATTTTCTGATCTTATCTATTGCTTCCTTGACAAAAATATTTTTAAAAATGGATTGCATTGGCCCCTTTTTTAATTTTTGCAACAAGTAAAGTTGTGCCACACAAATGGGTAAGATCAGAAGTCTGGTTTCTTTCCTTGGAAGAAGGGTTGTTGTTTTTTAAACCACATGGGTCAAGTCTATTTTGGAGTTTACATAAGCATGTCTACAGGTTTCTTACTGCAAAATTGCAGGCAATCACACAGATGTAATCAAACAAGGCTCTCGGGCTGCCAAAATGTTTTGGCACAGCTGCATGAGATCATGACTCAGCCTCAAGTTCCCTTCCTGATATAAGGTATAAACTAACTCAGAATGATGATGCCAGAGAAATAAGCTCTTGGATATTATATAATAAGCATTGTAGGGTTGTATCTGGCTTGAAAGTCAGGAACACTTGAACAAAAGCATGCAAAATTCTTCCTGCAGCTTTCAATCCAGAATGAAATATGTGGCATAATTTTCTCCAAACTCTTCAGAGCCTTTTGGGTAGAGATAACTCCAGAACAGGTAGATTTCCTTAATCTAGATAAGTGATTGCTCTGAAGCTCTTTTCATTGCTTCCATTATATGATTAAAACTGTAATTCCCTACAACCATCTTTTTGATTCTTTGCTTTCTGGTTGTTTTAAATATGTACATTTTCAGCCATCTAAGAGTAACATATATTTGTTTCAATCCTGTTCAACTGAATAATTGGAAATTCTGGGAAGGAATCTGGAAAGAAAGATGGTAAATGCCTGATTTAGTTCCTGGCTTCTGAAAGAATCTAAACTATTCCAATGCAAGCAACTTGTCTGCTTATATTCACTTCTTGCTGAGTTATTCAAATGTTAAATATGCAAGCAAATCAGCAGACTATTCTTGAACAAACATGGAATATGCTTGTTTTTGTCACATATATTAGCTTTTGGCACATATGGAAAGCTAATACATCTGGTCCAAGAATATCTCTCTCATTGATATGCTAACATTCAGGTCTATCTTTCTCTACAGAAACAAAGCATGCAAACACAGAGACAGACAGTCAGAGAGATAGACAGACAGAGACAGAGACAGACAGGCAGAGGCAGAGGCAGAGAGACAGATAGAAAGTCCTAGGAGAGACCTGAGGATGATTCACTCTATGTGAATCTGATAATGGTTCTGATAATGCACATATAAGGATGACACTTACGGAGAGCGTGCCATTCATCCTGGCGGATGGTATTGGTAACATTCATAGGCAAGTTGCGTGGCAGGGAAGATGATGTGTAATGGTATTTCACAGCTGTGCATCGTTGAATGACTCCTGCAAAGACAAATTCAGTGTGCAGTTGTGGATTCTGTAGCTGAACCATGACATTTGTAACTCTGCTTTCCCTTCACTGCTCATAAATCAGATTAAACCTTTTCTATTGCTGAGAAACTAAGAAGTTACTGATCAGACTCACCCACTTCATGCTAAACCGTTATTTGTTTTAATTATTGTTTCTTTTTTTTGCATTTTTTTTTAGTTTATTGAAAAAAGATTAAAATACAAAACACCACAATATTTGGGGGGAAAACCCACACCCCAAAAAGATATCAACAAAAAGTGTCTTAAAAAAGAACACATGAATGCATAGCATCCTCCCTAACTGAATGCTGATTGGTACAGTATAACAATTTTGATTTCCCACCCCTTGAGAAACGGGCTAAAATAATTTTAAACTGTTAAACTACTAAACTTACTTTCAAATTGTTAGCCTGTCATTGGTAAACTATATTAATAACAAAGTAGTTAACAAATATTCTTATTATATTTTGCTTGGAAAAGGAGGGGGAAAGTGAAAGCTAAAGAAACTTTGTAACACTGCCAACTAGAGGCTTGGAAATATTCTATTTTTCTTTTGACCAGACAAAGCTGAGAAAGAACTGAGACTTTGTTTCAAGGACATTGCTTGCTTGATAAGATAGAGGGAAGAGCACGGGAGAGTATTATTACAGGTGCTCTTCTGGGTTTCTATCAACAGCTGGAGTCTGGTGTTGAAGCTTAGGAAAAGAAAAGGCGATAAGTCTTTGGAGAAGAGAGTTATAACAAGAGCCTTGGATAATTAAACAAAGTGCAGTGTGCTCTTTTCATTCTTTTTAAGCTGTGCTACCCCTCCTCATCAGTTTACTTTTTTTTGCAATAGCTATTTGGATTTTTGGCTCTCTGGAATTTGTCTTTGTTTTTTGTTTTTTTGTTGTCTTTGGAAGTTAAATTTGTACATCTGCTTTTTATTTTAAAGGAAAAGCTCTAGTATTAATACTTACCTTCCTTTTCTTTTTAAGGGAGTACCCTTTTTCTTCTCTTTCCCTTCTTGGTATTTTTGTCTTTCAATCTATCTTCCATATTGGTTTTCTTTTTCTTTTTGGGGGGTGGGTGGGTTATTTTTATGCATACTTTTATATTTGAGATCTCTTAATTGGATTAAGGTGTTGAGGAACGTGAAGAATTTTTCCTTTCACCTTTTTTAGGATTTTACAACTTTTTTGTGTGTGTTCATGGTCTGTTTATGGTCTTTTCCATCATTTTTGAATTTTTACTGTCATCTAACCAACCGACTGGATTAAGGTATACAAGAACCTGAAGAAATTTTTTCTTCTTTTTCTATTATTATTACTATTTGGCTTCTCTTTTCCTACTATTCTCCTACTTTTTTCCTACTATTTTTATTTGGAACTGCAATGGGTTATTTTACAACTGGATTAAGGTCTAGAAGAACCTGAAGATCTTGAACTCCTCAAAATGAGTAGGAAATTAATAGCTCCTGGTTCTTCAACTTCCACTTCTTCCTCTCCACCATCTGGAGGACAACGTTTAATACAGACAATATTAAGGCAAGAAAAAGAACAAGAAAAAGTGACCCTGCAGATGATTATGCAAGGAATTCAAAATATTCAAATAAGATCAGAGAATATTGAAAAGAGAATAGAGAACATTGAACAAAGAACAGGGAAAACTGATGAAAAAGTGGAGAACATCCAACAAATGATGATGAAGTATGATGAGAGACTCCAAAAAATTGAAGAAGAAGATAAAGAGACAAGAAGATTGGAGACATTGATAACAGATTAACTGTGGTTGAACAAGATAAAAGTGGTATGCTGAGATGGGAGATGGACAGATCAGAATTTTATCTTAGATTCCAAAACATAGAGGAAGAAAAAGGACAAAATCTAACTGAGATAATGATAGAAATATTGGCTGAAGCTTTGGAAATAACTAAAGAGAAGATGATGGATGGAATAGATGAGGTTTATCGAGTCTTTACAAGATATGCGATGAGAAATAGCTTACCAAGAGAAGTTCACATCAGATTTACAAAGAAAGCCATTAAAACGCAAATATTGCAAGTGGCAAGAGAGAAAGCATTGAAATACAAAGATAAGGAGATTGTGTTCTTGAAACAAGTACCCAGAAGAGTGAGAGAGATGAGAAGAGAATACCGATTCTTGACCAAATTGTTACTTTAAAAAGAGGTGAATTATAGATGGCTGATTCCAGAAGGTTTAATGTTTACATGGCAAGAACAGAGATATAGAATTGACTCAATTGAGAAAGCTGAATCATTTTACACAGAATTTTTCAGAGGGGAGGAAAAGGCAGAAAAAGAAATTTCACTAATTGAATTCCAAGAGGATTCCCAAATGATGACTGAAAAAGAAGAAGGTGCAGTAGGTGGAAAGGAGGAAGCTAAAGAACAATGTGAACCAAGATCCACAAGAGCTGTCAAACCTAATTACAAAATATAACCATGGAAGATAAAAAATTGATTACAATTAATATAAATGGACTTAACTCAGCCGTTAAAAGAAGGAAAATCTTTCATAAATTAGAGAAATTAACATTTGATATAATCTGCCTACAAGAAGTACATATTAAAAAAACAATATGAACAATTGTTGATATAGCCAAAATTAGGGAAAATATTCACTTCCTTGACACAATGTAAGAAAAGAGGAGTGGTTTTATATATTAAAGAGACCATCTCAGCGAAATTGATTTATACTGATGACGACGGAAGAATATTAATGGTGGAAATAATAGACAACAATACGAAAACACTCCTTATTGCAATCTATGCCCCGAATGACAATCAAGAAGAATTCTATAAAAAATTACATATGAAAATAGTTGAACTGGACTATGTTAATATAGTTATGATGGGAGATTTTAATGGAATTGTAGACAATAAACTGGACTACACAGCACAGAAAACAATAAAGCAAAATAGAAAGACGCTCCCTAAATCTTTTTTTAAAATGGTAGATGAAATAAACTTAAAAGATACATGGAGAGAAAGAAATGCTAAAACTAAACAATACCCCTTCTACTCAAATAGACACTTATCATGGTCCAGAATAGATATGATATGGATGTCAACAGAATTGTTAACTAATATTCAAGAAATAAATATTGAAACAAGTACTTGGGCAGATCACAATTCAATGACAATTAAATGGAAAGGACAAAGAAAAAGATCTAGATGGGTGTTAAATAATACTATTTTAAAGGGAAAAGACTTCACACAGTGGATGGAGAAAGAATTGGCCTTTTTCTTTGGAGAAAACAAAAAAGAAGATACATCAATCCAGAATGTATGGGATACAATGAAGGCATATGCCAGAGGCTTGATAATAGACTATACAAGGAAAAGAAATACCATGAAAAGATTAGCCTCTAAGGCATTAGAAGATGATTATAAAGGACTTGAAAAAGAGCTACAGAAAATGCCACAGAGAAAGGACATTATGTTAAAAATGGATATAACCAAACATAAAATGCGTCTAATAGAAAAAGAAGAATTAGCACAAAAAATTAGAGGTGCCAAACAGAACTATTTTGAAGATGCAAATAAACCAGGTAGATGGTTAGCATATAAATTGAGAAAGGAGAAAGAAAAATATTGCAATTAGTAGATGACCAAGGCCAAGTTTGCTATGGTAGTAAAGAGAAGAAGGAAATTATTCGAGATTTTTATGGGAAACTATACCCACAAGAGAATATTGATGAGGAAAGAGTTAAACAGTATTTACAGAATGCTAATTTACCCCAGATACCTAAAGAGATTGAAACAATGTTAGAAAGCAATATAACAATGATGGAGTTAACTGAAGCACTTAAAAAAAATAATAATGGAAAGGCACCAGGCCCAAATGGATTTCCGGCAGAATTTTACAAAACATTACAAGAATCATTGAATTTTCCATTGCTAGAAGTTATGAATGAAGTTATGTTAAAGAAGAGGATACCTAAATCATGGTCAGAAGCTTATATCACATTTGTTCCAAAAGAGGAGACCGATCCATTACAAATCAAGAACTATAGACCCATCTCCCTACTAAACGCAGATTATAAAATCTTTTCTTCAATATTGGCAGAAAGACTTAAAAAATATTTAAATAATTTTATCCATCCTGACCAAAATGGATTTCTGCCAAAGAGACAAATCAAAGACAATATGAGAGTAATCTTGGACACTTTGGAATACTACGAGGCACATCCCGAAAAACAAATTGCTTTGATATTTCTAGATGCACAGAAGGCATTTGATAATGTGAATTGCCGATTCATGTTATTACTGCTCGAACAGATGGGCTTTGCTAGAAAAGTTATTCAAGCAATAGAAGCTATATATCATAAGCAGATGGCAAAGGTAATGATAGGGGGAGAACTGACAGAATCTATCGATATAAGAAAAGAAACAAGACAAGAGTGCCCGCTATCACCTTTGTTGTTTGTGTTAATTTTGGAAGTGCTAAACAGAAATATTAGAGATGAAAATAATATAAAAGGGATGAAAATTAAAAAGGAAGAATTTAAGTTACAAGCATTTTGTAGATGATCTGGTTTTTATTTTAGAAGACCCACTAGAAACAGCATCAAAATTGATAGAAAAGATAGAGACATATGGAAAGGTGGCTGGTTTGAAAATAAATAAAAATAAGACAAAGATCTTGACAAAGAATATGCTATCAAGACAAAAGGAAGAATTGGCAGACCTATTGAAAATTCAGGTCACGAATAAGATCAAGTACTTGGCGATATACTTGACAGCAAGATGTAGTACACTAAAAGAAAATAATTATATCAAATATAAACAGCAGATAGCGCTAGATTTGGCGAAATGGGAAAATTTACAACTGTCATTAATAGGGAGAATATCAACAATCAAGATGAATATATTACCCAGAATTTTATATTTGTTTCAAACAATTCCAATTAGGCTTGGAAAAGACTACTTTGAAGATTTAAATAAAATTGTGTTGAAATATATATGGCAA